CTTTCCCTGAGCCTTTAGGAAGACTAATGAACTGCAATAACCTACAGGAAAGCTCTTGTAAACTATACAGACATCTACTGATAAAAAACAAGTGCCATCTCTATACCTTCTAGTTACAACCATAAAGGTTGATGGAGCAAAAAAGGAGCCAACAGAGGAGAAAGAGGTGGCTTCAACACCTCTGGCTAGTCTACACTGCCAGGCTCTGTGGATCCGCTCAGATGGATGCAGAAACTCTCTCTGAGAGCAGAATTATGAAATTAAAAAGAAGGGTCTCCTTCCAAGAAAGGAATCAGCTTTAATTAGAGTTCAGCTAGAAAGCAATGACTTCAAACTAAAAGCACCTGATCTGTTTAGAAGCTGAGCTGGAAATGTCTGAAGCGCGACCAAGACAGAGCCCCCTGCTGGCTGCTGACCCCGGCAAGGGTTCAAGCAGGAGTCAGGTGTGCTCTGTCAGTGGTGACAACCTATCAGTCGCTGTGGAAGGTAAGGATTCTCTTGCATCTCTTTTTTTCTTCTAACCTCAGAGCCTCTCTTCCACCATGTGAAATCAAACCTTTGCATTTGTGTGGTTTCAAGGTTTGTGAAACATTTTTCTGTATTTTCTCTGGGTCATTAATCAATACATAAAAGCTTCAGACTGATGGCATTTGAGACGACCGTCTGCTCTATTTCCTCCTCTCTAAAGTAGTTTAAAAATAAAAAAGTGCTTCTGTTAGTTTCTACATACAGAGTTCTGTTTATTCCTAACAGCGCAAATCCTTCAGTGACCTGGTATAGCTGTGTGACAAGTCACCTGAAACTCCTCACTGGAATTGAGAAGCAGCTGGAGAAGAACCACCGACACCTGGGGGCCGAGTAAGGGCTGCAGGACAAGCAAATACCAGGTGAAAACCACGATGGCAATGACCCCTTCTGGTCAAAAATCATACAGGTATTTTTCCAACTCAATTTTGGCCATTCAAATAAATTTTTAAGGGACCACTCACCACCACTGCAATCAAAAAACTTAAAATATCTTTGAACAAACGTGGTGAGACATATGTAAAATCTCTATATATGATCACTGAGAGATACAAAAAGATTAGACAAATAAAGAAGACAAAGTTTTAGAGGGGATGACTAAACACTATGACATCCATTCTCATTCAAGTTACAGATTCAATTTAAATCTAGTAAAAAAATCAAACACAACTTTTGGAGTGGATAAAATAACTCCAAAACTCAATTCTAGAAAGAAGACAAGTGAAATGTCCAAAAGAATATTTCTTAAGAGCAATAGGAGAGAGGTTTCTGGCCTTTCCCATCAAGCAATGGAGAGCTTAACAGTTCTTACAGTACAATTTCAAAAGCAATTCTCAATTCTTTAAAAAAATTTTTTTTAATTTTTATTTTTATCTTTATTTATTTATTTTTGCCACACTGCATGGCTTGCAAGATCTCAGTTCCCTGACCAGGGACTGAACCCGGGCCATAGCAGTGAAAGCACTGAATCCTAACCACTAGACCACCAGGAAACTGCCAGCAATTTCTCCATTCTTCAGCAATTATTATTTGACACCTGTCATGAAGAAATGCCAGTCTCAAAGCTAGAAAACTCAAGCAAAAACACCTGAAAGCACACCACTACTAGCACCAAACACACAGCTAACTGGAATTACAGTCATTCAGCCAAAAACAGAGAGACTATAAAGAAATAATAACTCAAGTGGTGTGAGATCCTGCTTCTATTCCATGGCAAATGGCCTGGAGGGGAAAGGGGACTCTGCTGGGCTCTCCACCACCTGGAAGACTCCCTCCCCTCATTCATTTCCTAGTGTGAGCATCCTGCCGTGCTGGGTCTGACCTTGAAGTACCCTGGACTCTACCTAACATCTGTTTCTCCTGCTGACTTTACAAGGCAGCCCTCACACAGGCCACAACCAGGTGTATCTACTCTTCTTCAAGTGCTTTTTTCTAAGGTTTACGTGCACACGGCCCAAGGGTTCAGCCAGCGTCCTGGCTCACTAACCTTCTCAGCCATGGCATCCATGTAGTCCTGTCGCTGGTACTCTCTCCGGCGCAGATGCCTGTACACATGGAACTCTCCGCTGCCGGCCCCAGCGCTTGAACCTAAAGCCAGGACAGTCCAGAGCTTTTGATGATATCCAGTTACCAACACAGGCTACTCTTAATCACAGGGGACCAAAGAAAGATACTAGAGGTGATGGAAGGGACCAAGCCTGCCCTATCCCCCACTGTACCCCAGAAGCTAGCACACTGGCTGCTATATTGTAGGTATCATTAAATATCTGTTGTGTGAATGTTGAATGTGAAGTCACCAAAAATTCCACTCTAGCGCAGTATTAAGAGGACAAGCAGACTATCGTTCAGAGACCAGAAACCTAAGAGAGCCTGTGACCTTTCCCTCCCCCACCAGATGATTTCACATTTGACATGCTAGGTTTCTACTTAGTTGAAAAGATGTCCATGATATATGAAGTGAAAAAAAGTAAGTTATCAAATAGTATGTGTAGAACAACCATATTTTTGTAAACATTTTTTCTTAAGTATGAGTGGTTTTGACTATAAAGAGGTTTGGAGGACTATATCAAAATGTTACAAATAGAACGATAGATTACAGGTGGTTCTAATTTTTTTACACCTGTTATTTATTCTCTTTATAGTTAGTTGTGTTAACTTACAACCCAACAAAATAAAAACTAGTTCCATTTTGAGAAAACAAGGTATTAAAAACAATGCAGAAGAAAGTTCTCTAATGCCAAACCACAAGCAACAATACCCCTTCATTGTAAGAGCAAAATACTGGATCAGTGAACTTTTGTTTCTTCCTACCAGCGATATAATTAACAAATACTAACTGCAGAGTTTTTAATACCTACACTTTAAAAACTGTATTTAAACACACACCCACATCCAAAAGACATTACCCATTACATCTCGGACAAATTCTGGGGGAGGTCGAGGTGCCCATTCACTCATTTTTTCTGGAATTGGAACTGCTTTGTCCTGCAACATTTAAACACGAAAGCATTTGTATGTATACACCGGCTGACTAAGTGACATCTTTTTCAACCAAAAAACTTTAACTGAAGTAATGAAGTAAGGCTGCTTTGCTTCCTGGACCCAAAGCTGAGTTTGTTTTCTTTCCTCTGGCTTTACTTCATCCTGTATATTCTGGGTCCTATCAGAGCCCACAGCCTCGCCAGGGCTACACTCAACTTTTCAGGGCAGAACTCAGAAACGCGACTCATCGTTTATAGCTGGAAACCTCCAACCCCAGGTGTCTTGGCCAATGGCTGTCTAATAATTAGTGCTGTTTAGAAGAAAATAAACCCTTGTGCTAACCCACGGACTTTATCTTTCCAGTCTAAGACTTCTGTTCACAAAGTTAAAGGGTCTTAGAACACGAGAAGCCGCTTCGCAGCGCCCTCATCCAGGCTTGGCTCTAACATGAGAGCAGAAAATAGCTCACTATCTCCGGGGCCACCTACTCCTTCCTAAGGTCTGACCCTGGGGTTCGGGTACTGAGTTCCGGGGTTCGGAAGCGCGGGAAGAGGGCCCGCTAGCGCCCAGAGACGCCGGAAAGGAAGGGGTTAGGACTCGGAAGGGCCGTCAGCCCGCGCCTCGTCTCACCGGGTTCTTCATTAGCCGTTCCAGCTTGAGCTTCTGCTCCTCCGCCGCATTCTTGGGGATGACGAGCGCCTGCGGCTCTTTCTTGGGCCTCGGCGGTCGCACGGAGGAGGCGGCCGGGCTCGCCATGAGAGCTCTGCGGCTGTCCTGGCAAGCGGCTGCGCGCGTGCGTATGACGACAGAGCCGCGCGCCAGCGACGCAAGCGCAGTCTCCTAGCTGGGCGGGGCTGGGGCGGAGTTGCCAGCCGGAAGCAGGATGCTGAATATTCATGAGCTTGAAGCCCCGGTGGGTTATTTTGATTAAAGCTGCTTGATTTCTTTTCATGTTTCTGAGCAAATCAGCGCAGCGAATGCCCACGTCCCTGGGGGAGAGGTTGGCCCTGCGTGCCCGAGGGTCCGGCCCCAGCCGACCTCTCCGACCCCAGGCGACCTCTCCAGCCCTCGACCCCGACCTCTTAGCATCCCACACCCCCGCCCCCGGGCCTTTGTCCTGGTGGTTCCTTGGATCTGGTCCACTCCCCTTGCCATTTCTGACAACGTGTTTAAGACGGCACAGACGTCACTGCGAGCTCCCTTAGGACTGGGGCCGAATCTCTTTTGTCCACCTCGAATTACTCTGCACCTGGCTCCCAGCAAATATACCTCGGTCGCGTGAATGGGCCTTTCTTACGAGAAAGAGAACAGTTGCTCCTCGCATCTGGGAACTAACCTGGCACTCACAGCTAGGCCTTGGTATTCTCCTGTTGGACATAAAACAATTTCCCAGAACACCACGGTAGTGCAAGGCCATTCTGAGACCATGATGGAGCAAGGCATAAACAAGACTGCTCTGTAATCATGTTTAATGCCAGATGAAAACAAGAATATTGTTGGAACCAGAAAAAGACCAACCGTTTCCCCATTCTGACTAAGTAACTGCTGCTTCTTTACAGCATTAGCCTTCCACTTTAAAGATTTAAGTCTTCCAGTCGTAGAATTGTCCCAGCTTCCTGACATCTATTCCAGAGTAAAAGCCCACTTACTTGAACCCTCCCCCAAATCACCTAACGCAGGCCCAAATTCTATAAAAAGCCTTTTTCCCCCCAAAATTTATTTATTTACTTATTTATTTTTGGGTGTGTTGGGTATTTGTTTGATGCACATGGGCTTTCTCTAGTTGTGGCGAGCGGGCGCTACTCTTCGTTGCAGTGTGCAGGCTTCTTATTGCAGTGGCTTCTCGTTGCGGAGCACGGGCTCTAGGCACGTGGGCTTCAGTAGTTGTGGCACGTGGGCTCAGTAGTTGCGGCTCTCGGGCCCTAGACTGTAGGCTCATTAGTCGTGGCACGCGGGCTTAGGTGCTCTGTGGCATGTGGGATCTTCCTGCACCAGGGCTCGAACCCATGTCCTCTGCATTGGCACGTGGGCTTCTAGTTGTGGCACGTGGGCTCAGTAGTTGCGGCTCTCGGGCCCTAGACTGTAGGCTCATTAGTCGTGGCACGCGGGCTTAGGTGCTCTGTGGCATGTGGGATCTTCCTGCACCAGGGCTCGAACCCATGTCCTCTGCATTGGCAAGTCCCTATAATAAGCCTTTTTAAACACTTTTTTTTTGGCCACGCAGTGGGGCTTGCAGGATCTTAGTTCCCTGACCAGGGATCAAACCTGGACCCTAGGCAGTGAAAGCTCCGAGACCCAACCACTGGACTGCCAGGGAATCCCCTAAACACCCTCTTACTGAGGTAAATGCTGCCTTCCTTCTCAAAAGAGGCAATAAACCCAATTCGTTCAACTACAGGTGTGTTCCTGGTGGTCTTCATAATTGTTTTTCTTGTTTATCATTTCTCAGCCCCTAGAGAGTGGGAGTTCTGTCCTATTCATTGCTGCATTTCCAGTTATCTGGGGCAAGGCCTGGCCCACAGCAAGACACTCATGTTGCTGGATGAACATGGGATCTTGGGAGCCAGGCACCTCAGATACTACTGCTGCTGTTGCCTGCTCAGCCTGCCCAGCCCAGGACAGCTCTCCCACTGAGTCCCTAGAGGATGGACAGGTGGTCAGGTGGTGGTTGCTTGGAGGGTGCTCTATTAATGCCCTAAGGCCATTCCTGGCCACTTGATAGTGGATGGTTTTCCAGGGGCCAAGGCTGCTGAATTAGGGGAAGTCCTTGAGTGACCCACGTCTGTCACTGGAACCCAGGGAGGGCTTGGTCTGGGTTGGATCATGCACACACGACCCTACATCACAAACCCCAGGCACCTCACTTTTCCCCAAACACACCATGAGACAAAAACTAGGAGTGTCTTTTCCTCCCTGGAGAACTCCCATACACCCTCCTTTTCCTGGCTTAAATGCTACTTCCTCCATGAAGCCTTCTCTGGTTGCCCCCACCCAGCCTCCTCCTCCAGGCAGTCAGTTGCTCCCGTCTTGGTGCTCCCCCTGCTCTGAGTCCCAGTGGCTGGCATGTGATAGTTACAGGGTGTCTTCACCATCAGCCTACCCACATGTCTGGGAGAGGGTTGTGCCAGAATCCCAGCATCTAATTCTGGCTTAGAGTGGTGCTTCCAGAATGTTTGCAGAGCAGAGGATTGAGGGAGGGAGGAAGGAAAAGAGTCTGAAAAAATAAAGAAAGAGTGAATGTGCAATGAGGAAGTCAGTGCCTACGAGAGTGAATGAGTGAATGAGGAATGAGGAAGTCAGTGCCTACGAGAGTGAATGAGTGAATGAGGAAGTCAGTGCCTACGAGAAAGAATAAATGAACACTCAATAAAGAAATGGATACTCCATGAATGAAAGAGCACACAATACAGTGGATGAGCAGACAGTTACAGAGCGAGCAGGGCAACCATCTCCATGATATCCCCAGCTCAGGGTCTGGCCCAGAGCTGGTACTTGGCAGACAGCTGCTGGATGGAAGTTAAATGAATGAATGAAATGAATGCGTGCACCAAGATGGGGGAGAGTTAAGGCATATAGTTGTGAAGGAGCTGATAATAGCAACCTCAATGTCTAAGCCTAGTATAAGAGTGTTGACATGTTTGTCGTCCTGTTAAGGAACTGAGAGCCCCAGAGGGGTGAGTGACTGGCTCAGGGTCACCCAGACTCCAACCCAGCAGGCTGGGACTGTGAGGGCCTGAGTGATCACATGACTCACAGATAGATGGACCAAGGCCCTCAAGCAGACCATGGTGGGGCCATCCAGGTGGCACCCTCCTAGGGCTGAAGCCAGATTTGAGGTCCTGCTCCCTGGGAGGAAAGGGTGCCTACCCACCCCCACTCCTCACCAACTGTCCCACAAGAGTGGACTCAGACTCTGAATGACATCCTGTCTGCCGCCAGAGGGCAGCAAAGCTCCACCCAGGCCCACGTGCCAGCAGCTGGTGCCCCTGAGGCACCAGAACTGGGCACTTAGGGAATGATGTCTACTGACCTGAAAGAGACCAATGCTTTGGAGTCTGGCAGATCTGATGGCAAAGTTTGGCTCCACCTGCTCTGAAGCGTGGGCTGGGCAAGCAACCTAACCTCTCAAAGGCTGTTTCCTTATGTGCAAGCAAACCTACCCTTGACACTGGCCAGTGGATAAGATGATGTGACAGATGTGCAGTGCCCAGCACAGCGCCTGACACTCAGTAACAGGGTGATCACCTGTCCCAGTTTGGTTCCAAGACAGAGATTTCCCAGGATGCAGGACTTCCAGTGCTAAAATGGGGAGAGTCTCGGGCAAAGCAGCACAGTTGGTCACCCAGGGGTGGGAACTCCCACCTCAATCCTTTGAGTTGCGATTGATACTTAAAGAACTAAAACAGCAAAAATGTTCACAACTATTCCATAGTTTTGAGTTTCTCACTGAATTAGTGAGTCAATGGTCTTTCCACAATGGTCTCTGTCAGTGACTAGAGAACAGTTCCACCAATGGAGATAAAAACAAAGAATACACCCACTTCAGAAAAGAGTTTGTCAGTTTCCTATAAAGATAAGTACCACACAACCCAGCAATCTCATTCCTAGAGAAATAAAGATATATGTCCACCAAGACCTGTATGTGAATACATACAGCAGCTTCACTCATAACTGCCCCAAAACTGGAGACAACCCAAGTGTCCATCAAACTGTGATGTATCCTTTCAGTGACACACACCTCAGCAATAAAAGGGAAGGAACCGTTGGTACTTGTAACAGCATGGATGGATTTCAAAAGCATTATGCTTAGGGACTTCCCTGGCAGTCCAGTGGTTAAAGACTTCGCCTTCCAGGGCAGGGGGTGCAGGTTCGATCCCTGGTTGGGGAGCTGAGATCCCACTTGCCTTGTGGCCAAAAAAACTAAAACATAAAACAGAAGCAATATTGTAACAAATTCAATAGAGACTTTAAAAATGGTCCACATTAAAAAAAAAACTTAAAAAAAAAAGCATTATGCTTAGTGAATGAAGCCTGATCCAAAAGGCTACAACCTGAATGATTCCATTACTTGACATTCTGGAAAGGCCAAAATGATAGAATACAGATCAGCAGTCACCACAGGCCAAGGATACGGGAAGGGGATAGACTGTAAAGGGCCCGAAGGAACTATCTGGGGTGATGAACATGTTGTGTATCTGGATTGTGGTGGTAGGTACACAAACACACACATCTGTCAAACTCATTGAACTCTATACTTAAAAAGGGTGAATTTAATTGTATGAAAATGATACCTCAATAAACTAGATTTAGTTTATGTGCAATGATGACACTTGAAAGGCATGGGGGCAATGGAAAGTGTAAGTATTGTGCTGCTGTCTGCTTTTTGTTAACTGCTTTACAAGACTTGAAAGGAGAACATGCATGTTCAGGTTAACCACCCATCAACACAAGGCATGAAGGTCAGAAGGCATCCAGATTGGCAATATGCACAGAGGCGGCGTTCATCACCGGGGAGATGAGATGGCTTGTTTAGTGGAGGTCATCCAGCCCTGTCCTAAGCCACTCCAGTGATTGTGCAATTAGTCCATGAACAGAGTAGCCATATGAAGGGTATGCACGGGCACAACAGATGGGCTCCCTCTCACCACGGCTGATATATTGCTGCTGCTGCTGAATGCCTGAGTTGAATGATCCTTCATGTAGCATTATCCTTTAAGGAGCCCAGTCGACCTCCTGATGGCAATTTTGTTACATTG